ATCGAGCATTATCAAGGTGACTTGTTTTAATGGCATAATCTAAAAATTATGCTCAAAATCAAATTATTTGCTAGCAATCTTAAAAACATCGGGTTTCGAATAGATAATAAGCATATATGTGACCATCTTGTGGATGCATTTATTAAAATCATAAAATATCTAAATGGTCCATATGGTGGATGAATTGATCCACATATATGATCACCTTGGATACATTCTAAAAATATTGGAGATTTAACCTCAATTTTACTTGGTGATGGCTTAATAATCAATTTTTCTTGAGAACATATAGAACATGAAAATTTATTAAATTAACAAATTTTCTAACTCTTCAATAGATGTCCATATGAATTTTTAATAATTTTTACATCATGAAAGACCCAAGATAACACAACTGGTCATATTATATAATAAAAGTATTTGAATTAGTAAATTTCTGATTTATTATAGCATTTGTTTCAATCATTCCAATATTTGTAACAAAGACTAAAAGAGAAAGCGGATAAAATTTTTTAATACATATTTTCTACCTCGTATAATGTTTATAATATATAAGTATTCACATTTGTTATCTTGATATGATATCAATTTAGATGGATATCTTTGAAACTCAATAAATTTCTATAAGACTTTGAAGAGAAAGTACATCATTTATAATCAAATTTATTCTTTTGGATAATAACATATTTGCTCTTCTAAAGCTTTTAAATTATGTCACTATAAGTAATAAAATATTTGCTTTTCTAGAGCCTTTAAAAGTTATCTCTTTAAGTAATAATATATTCACTCTTGTAGAGCCTAAAAAATTTATCTCTTCAAGCAAGAATATATTTATTTTTCTAAAGCTTTCAAAGTTATTCTCTTCATGTAATAATACGAGTCACTCTTACGGAGCTTTCTATTATATTGATATTATCATATATAATATTAACATAGAATAAATAAATAAATATATATATTTTTCATAAACATAAATAAATAGTAAAATAAATTTATATTTATTTCTATGCAATAAAAATTACAAGAAAATATAAAACATCTTATTTATAAATAAAAAAGCTAAAAAATTATTAATTTCAATTACCATCGTTTTGATATATAAAATTGACTTTTATATTTTACTCTTTCTTTTCCAACGAGGCTTGATAAAGCTTAATGAGGTGCATTAGTGTATGGTAGGTACACAACCACTTGTTTATTCATGCCACATCTATAACATTTATTTTCGAATATTAACTTTATCCATTTTTATCTATTTATTTATTTTTATAATTTATCCACTTCGATGATGAGATATATTATCATGTTCATCATGATTATAATGATAATTATTGACCATGATTATAATGATAATTATTTCGACCACGTCTATGGCTATGATCACGTCTTCGTTCATTTCTAAAATTATTCTAAGTCATCACATTCACTTCAAGGAATAAAGTAGATCAAGTTGGACGAGATTTATTCTTTTTCATCAATAGGTTTTCATTTTATTTAGTCATGAAAAAGTATGAAATTGATTCAAAATATTTCTTAAATACTTTTTCTCGATATGCTACTACAAGAGCATATTCGAGATATGAAAAATAGATGATATTAACTCGGCATTAAGCACTCATAATCAATAATTCTTGCCTAAATGTCAAGGGTCGGAAAATCAAGTTTTGTGATGGTTGATATCATTAAAATTATATATTGCAAAGTATAATAATAATATTAGTAAATAAAAACAAATATAATCATAAAATTTAAATAAAAAAAAACATAATAATAAAATTTGAAATTTTCAAATAATATATATTAGATTATTAGATTCTATATATTAAATCATTTAAGTTTTTCAAATATATATTCTATGTATTATTGGATTTAAAGTACATGATAAATTAGATACATACCTCTTAATGATCTAAATAATTTAGATCTTTTGGTAGAGCACTTATGTAGAAGAAATCCAATATTTGAAACAATTGATTAAGTTTGTTGGTAAATACATACCTTATGATCTATTGTCTCGATTGGTTAGAGCATCGTGTCGATAGCGTGTTATAAAAGAAAAAGAAATAATAGGAGAATTGAAGAGAAAGATGATAAAAAAAACAAAAAAACAAAAATGAATTCACTATAAGATAAAATGAATACAAGAGATGACAACTCTAAATAATCTCTCAATCTCTGCAAAATACTTGTACATAAACTAATGAACAATCAAGCCTATTTATAGACTTCAAGATTAAGAAGAGAATTTGAAAGCATTATGAATCATTAAAAGATGCATAAATAATTGAATAAATTACATCACTTTTTTAATTTCTCATATTGAATGGTGAATTAAATCATATGAATAGTGAGAAATATGAAATGGACATTCATTATTTCATAACACAATTGAAGTTTTATTTAACAATTTATGGAGGAAAAAAAAGACCATGTTAGGATAGCTTTCTTTAAGTCTCAACATATTAGAACATATATATATATATATGCATTAGGAATAGGCGAGATATTAGGTTTGAATTTGATGTTTACTAGATATTACTTGGACATTGTAAACTCCAACAAGTTTTTAGATTATTATACAAGTCAAAACTCTCATGTTTACGAGGTAAAAAAAAATAAAAAATAAAAAACTTGAAACTTATTCGGAAAAGAATTACGTCGAGCTCGAACTCAACTCTTTTCTTATTTTCATAAAAATCCTTTTCATAGCAAGTCTGGGAATGCTATGTTTAAAGAAAACTAAAAACAAGGGCATAGAAGTAAGCACGGTAAAAGTGTCGAGCTTAATCTAGAAGCTTCACCATTGATTTACGCTTGAACTTTATCAAATACTTTAGCTCCAATAGATCCAACAACAATCTCTACTATAGATTTATAATGAACCATTTAGTAGCAATAGTAAGGTAGTGCAAAATCGGCTTTTTAACGAGACTTTCAAATAAAATTGAGAATAGTAAAAAATAAAAAATAAAAAATTATTTCCTATTTACAAGACTTTTCCAACTTAAAATAAAACCCACTCTTGATATTTTGGGCTTTTGGGCTTTCGTAGATATGTTTTTTGTTTTTAGAATTTCGTTTTTGACATCTACTATCATCATTATTATTTTCATCTCCGATTATTGGTCTATCCCAAGAATTTTGATTAATTAACTTTGTTTTTGGCGAAAACATAGTATATTTAATGATAACAATGAAATATTGTTTAACCTTTAATTAAATTTACATATAAATTTAATCTAAAGATTAAAAATCTTTTTTAGATAATTTTTTTGAAATTTTTAGAAAAAAAATTTACAAAAATAAGTTTTTGGTCAATAATCCGAATAAAGAAGAAGAAATTATGTTTTTTTTTCAAAATGTTTTTTAAAAAACACAAAATAATTGGTCAAATGTAAAATTTTGATAAAAGAATCATAAAATTGATATATATATATATATATATATATATATATATATATATATATATATATATATATATATATATATATATATATTACTTTTGATTTTATATATTTTTAGTCGACCTTTAGTATATACGAAATTCAAACAAAAATAATTGTTTTAAATAATTTTACATGTTTTATTCGGCCATAACATAGCACGGAGTTAAAAAAAACTAGTAAAGTTCTAAACATTATAGAAAAAAATAAAAATAAAAATAATTTTTTTATTATAAAAATACTTGATTGACATGATTGAAAAAAATCAATACTGAAATATAAGAAAGTAAAATACATTAATTCGATTGATAAAAAGTAAAATTGATACACTAACAGTGTGATTTTCCTAACTGGAGTCTAATGGTTGCTCTTATTTGCTTGCTCATGGACTGGTAAGCCATTATTTGCTATTGTGTTGAGTAGGTTATAAAAGATGCATGATTTGCAACAAATCTATGCCAAAACAGGTATCAAAATATAAAAAATCTAATTAACTGTGGCTACTAAATTGCTTTTGCGTACTAATTAATGCAATCAACAATATTAGCAAACATTATCTGCAGTGAATAAATGATTGAAAAATACAATGTGGCAAGGATGTGAGCAATTGAATGATGTCACCCTAAAATTACTACGTTAAATTAATGTTATGTCTATTTGCATAATTTATTTGTTCATGTACATATAGTTTTATTCTTAATTAAGAAATTTTATATCAATTATTAAAGAGCCAACAATTCCTGAAGTCCTTATCCAAAATAAATAAATAAAAATCATCAAGTCTTCCTTCTGTTATAAATTCCATGCATGAATTAATTATAAAATCAATGTTTGATTTCATTATTGGAAAGAAATCTTAAGAGTAGATTCTAGGCATTAATTGTAATGGACAAGGAAAGAAAGTGTAAGCGAAGTTTGTCCTTTCTTCGTTACCAAAAAAAGTAAAAATGATGATGACAATAGAAAAAGAAATGGAAACTTCATAAAATCTTGCTAATGTTCATAATAAAAGAAATAATTTACCAAACATAGCAAATAATAATTACTCTTAAGACACAATAGAAAAGCAATAAATTTTTGTGCCTTTTTCATATTATGAAAGAAGAGAACGATTCCCTTGTATTTTATAGAAAAATTTCAATAAATGCAATTATATTTTGAATTATGAATTTTCTTCAATGCTCTCGATTTTCGTCCCATTTTTAGCCTTGCATATAGATTTCTTCAATAAAGTCACAATCATCCTTTCTAAGTTTTCATACTTTCATAATCCCCCTTCCATAACTACCCCCTACTCTGTATTTTATGATGACAAATTTTAAATAGCATTAAATCACTCAAATCTATGTTGTATACCTTTTTTAGAGACAAAACACCGCTAGCACATTTAATTTTATGCCTGCTCATTTTTTAACCAAACCAAATGGTGGTAATAAAATGACCTATAAATACAAGCAACCCTAGGATCCAAAATATACTTGAGAATTCTCCTTCTTTCTCTTTGCAAGTGTTTTTTTTCGTAGCATATAGTCTTTTTTGTACTTCATATTAAACTACATGGCTGGATTTGGTTGGAATTGGAGGCATGGTACTCATGGGTCTAAAAGGCCATTACCTCCTTCACACATCGCTTGTCGAATATGTGACCATGTATTTATGAGTACACAAGCTCTCATAGACCATATTGAATCTCACATGGTAGAGGATGACACTGCCTCGAGAAGGCAGAATGGTCCAAACCCCTTTTCCTCCTCCCGTACAGATCCTTTTTCCAACCCATTCAGTTTTAGCCTTTCAACTCCTACTCGTTTCTCACAAACTGGGCCACTCGGCCGAAATCGCTATAATTTTCTTTCTTTGACGGAGAGAAACCCTATCTTCGGTGCCAGTACCCCACAAAATCTCGTTCCAGCACAACCAATCACTCCACAAGCACATCCATGGTTGGCTAGGAACAACAAGTACTCAAATATGCGGTCACAACATGTACCTTTAACCTTTCCAACACAGCCCAAGGTGATAGAAGAGCCTCCAAATATTGACTGCACCAGGCCTTTTCTTCAACAATTGGAGAGACCCTTCTCATATTCCAAACTCGGGTTCCAAGAAAGCAATGGTAAACATAAGAATAGATCAGATTTGGGAACGCTGGATTTGTCTTTGAAGTTGTAGAAGTTGATAGGGAGGATATAACGGTTTTATCCTATGCCAAAACCCTAGTCAAGCTTTTAGGGTCGACATGCATGTTATTTAATTTTATTTTATTTACAAATAAAATAAAATACTTAATTTTCCTGTCATTAATTATTTATAACCATATTTTATTTTTGTTTTCCTTTTAATTAATTAATTAATTTTTTCATTTCTGTCATTATATAAAGGAGAAATTCCATCTTCTTGTTTTCCATGCGCTTATTGGTCATAAATGTGTTGATATATACTGATGGAAATTAATCTAAAATTAAATACTTTTATTTGGAGAAATTAATTCTACACGGATATTAAATATTATCTACAAGTTTCTTGAACAAACGCGCAATACTGTCTCATTGATAATCTTGCTTTGCACTTTCTTGCCTTTTATGGTTTTATAGCTATAGATTCATGATGAATCTGATGAATGAAATTAATTATTCAAATTAAAAATATTTGATGGAAGGTCCAAGCCATGGAGAAGATGAATTAATTTGATACTCCAATTAAAAAAAAAATTAGGCTATGAATTCATTTTTATCTTTCACATTACATTTAATATCTTGTTATATTTTCCCCGCAAATCAACAGTTCAAAAAATAAAAATAAAAATAATAAATAAAATAATATTAATAAATTATAGGGTTCTATCCCATTATCAAAAATCAACACGTAAGTTCTCTCTCCGGTTCTCGAGAGAGAAAGTTCTTTGAATTCAATTTTACTTTTCTGAAATGTTTTCCTTTTAGGGATGATGATCTCCTCTTCCCCCTTTAGCCTTATGCTCACTTCGGGCACAAGCCTATAACAGATGCCTAGCAATTGGCTCAATTAGTGACTTTGTTCAATTGATAAAAAAAACACAAAACACCAATCACCGATGCTAACTAAAATATAAATCATGTGTCTAGTTGAGTTTGTGAGTTCTTAATTATCTAATTAATTTAAATTTGAACTTTTAAATTTTTTTTTTAAGTTCTTATCTAGTTTATATATATATGGTAGATTTGCAAGCTCATATGAATTTGCACTAAAAAGTGTATCTTGATGAAAGAATGAGTTTATGAATTTACTTTATTCTCTTCTAAAAGGCTCAAATACTTTTCCTTTTTCTTTTTAATTTGCCAAAAATATATACATCTCATTGTTCAGATTGATGATTTAAATTGTAAAGTTGTTTTTTGTGATTAGATATCCATGACTGTATTATAGGAGTAATTACCACACTTAAGAACGTCTTATGTGCTTAAATATGCAATACGCCTTATCAATATTGTGAAAGCAAGGAAACCTTTTTTCTTGTTTAGGGTAGTCTTTTTAACCAAGAAATGTGGCTTAACATGAGGGAATTGTCTTGATTTGATGAGATCAAGGTTCAATTCATTATCCACGATAACTAATTATAATTATTTTTTAATAATATTAGATTTAGGTTCATTTGATCTAAGAAGGAGTTTAATGGTCAATAAAAAATTAAACAGGTTCTAGCATAGGTTTAGTTTAAGATGTGGTGAACTTAGCCTCGTTTGATGTAAAAACTAATTAAAAAATACCCCACTATCTATATATATATTAAAAAAAAAAGCTGATAATCACATATATACGGTATGGTTTTAAAAAATGTTGTGGAAACTATAATGAAAAGTATTTAGGATTTTTAGTGATGCTGTTATTTTTTGGGATTCTATAGTAGTGATGTGTTTATTTTAAGATAAAGCTCCGAAGTCGGGAGGTTTTTTTTCATAAAAAAAAAAAAAAAAAAGTACTTTATTAATTTGTATCCCCTTTGTGTTTTAACCGCCACTCTTTTGTACTGTTATTTTATTGACCAAGTTTGATGAGATATGAGTGTAATTGGATTTCAGATTTTAAATGTTATTCTTTTCATATTATAATTCTATTTTTTATTATAATGAAATTTTGGAGGCTTCTTTATTTGTGAAAGTAGGACGGTTGATCGAACCATACTAAATTTGTGTTTTAATTTTTTTATTCGTGAAAGTAGGACAATAGACCGAGCCATGCTAAATTTGTGTGTTATTTTTTCTTTTTCCTTCTCGTTTCCTTTGAAGATTTTCTACTTCTCAAATTGAAATCAATTAATCAATATTCTCTATAAAATAAACGAAAGAGAAATTAAAGAACTTAATTAAATGTATAAGCGTCCCAAAAAGGAGATTTATAAAAGAGAAATCACGAGGAGAATAAAATCATAATAACTATGATATATGTTGAAGAATCTTTCTCCTGCTATTATTTTTAACTGTTAGATTTGGATGTCAAACCACTAAAAACCTTAAAAATCCTTACTGTACAAATTAGAAATCATATATATATATATATATATATATATATAGCATAGACATTCGATCTTGAATTATTTTTAAAAAGTAGGGCATCAAAATTTGGTTATACCTACTAGAAGCGTAGGTATAATTAAAATAAAAAATAATAAAATTACCTAAAGAAAAGGGACCATATATACTGTATTACATATCCAATTGGGTTCGATATATTTTTGTCCAATCTTCCCATGCTACGTGTGGATTATAGTCTAGACATTACATACAATTTTTTTTTTCCATGTGGCAATTTAATCTGACCTGTCATTACACATGTTATTTTTTTCCACTTGTCACGTTTGCTCAAAAAATTAACCAGAAAACTATTGAATGGACCATATTAAGAAAATTTAGAGAGTAGAGAGATATGATAAAAAAAAAAAAAAAGATGGACCACATTAAGAAAATATCAAGACTAGAAGGATGAATCATGTGATTAATCCACACTTTTAATAACAGCAGTACATATGTGCATCAAAATTAATTCATGCACTAATCAACACAACAAGAAGGATGCTTTGATACAATATATAAAATAAATTAAACATACCTAAATATGTATTCGCAATAGAAATTAATAAGATATATATCTCATCTTATGATTGATTAAGTGCTCAAGCAATTGTTCAAGAAAAGCTAGTGTTGTCAAGAACAAAAAGCCGTCAAACCTATGCTAATACTTTAAGTTGTCCGTGTATTGATAAATGATACATGACTTTATGTAATATTTATATGACTAAATCGAAACCATTCTTTAACTTAAATTTTTGCACTTCCATCTATTATGGATGTCCCTGACTCATTATTAGAGTCCAATGGACTTGTGTGTGTGTGTGTGTGATAATGATAATAATAATAATAATAATAATAATAATAATAATAATAATAATACATAGTTTTAATTTAAAACAAAACATGACACATGGATCATACTTCAAAGGATATTTCTCATATGTATTTAATTGTGTGATTTCACTTATAAAGCATATTGAATTCTATTGTAAAAAATAAAAAATAGAAGGACATGTTTCTAAAGGTGAAAGATTTCTTATTTTTAAAAAAGACAAAAAAAAAATTTTTTTTAAAAACTTATTTCACAAATGGTATTTTTTAGCCTAATATATATTACAACAATCTCAACAATATAAACATAAAAAATAAAAAATAAAAAAAAGAAGCAATATCAGCAATATTCTTTCACATTATTGACCTTTTCTTTATAAATTGAAATATTTTTAAAAATATTGTTTATCTAAAAATTACATTGAATTTATACAAATCTTCACAAAATTAGGTAATATACATATACTCACAAAAAAAGAACTCTGTTATGTTTTGGTTATTATTTTTCTTCAATTTTAATACCGAAACACTAAGTATATTATTCACAAAATTTACATCTATCAATTATTATAATTTTTTAAAATATCTTATTCTAATATTATAATAAAAATATTGTATTCAAGTTATTCCCACGTTTATAATTTCCATACAAATAGTATAATAATAAATTATCAAAATGATTTTACTCGCTACACAACATTAAATTTATTGCTAAACAATTTAATGATATTCATTTCACAACAAAATAAACATGAAAGGAGAAATTTTAGAGTACTCTAGAAGTAACTATCTATATTTAATCTAAAAATCCATTTTATATATGTTTATTAGTTCGTCAATCCATGGAACTCCTCACTTGCTTTTTTTTTTTTTTTCAAAACCTCATCCAATCGCTATCATCTTCGACGTCACTCTGTACTAATCCATCACTTCTTAGGCAGAAGCGTTCACCTGAGATGGAGCAGCAGACAGCCTTGGGTTAACGTTATTAGAAGGCCTTGGTATGATTGCCCGATGAACCACTAGACGTTGGATCCGTTGTAAAGGAGGTTGGATTTGTTGCATTGAAGGCTGGATTCCCATAGGGAGGACATGTGATTGTCTTGCTGTCGGTGCAAGTGATCGAGGAGGAAACAACCCGATATGGTTGTTTTGTCGAGATGCATACATATTTGGTTGTATTAAATTAAGAGGAAGACTCTCAATTTGGTGATTAAATGGTGCTATTTGCTCATTTAGAAAATGGAATTCACAATGATGAAGGAAAGCTTCTAACCCTATAATAACACGGTTACATATATCACATGGAATTTGGATAGGATCTCCAAGGTTAGAGCTCCCTAACTTTGAGTTCCAACCAAAACCAGACATGCTTAAGAATGAAAACAAACAACAAATTAATGAGCCAAAAAGAATGAAATAAAACAGTAGTTATTATAATTTTTTTAATTGTTTTTTGTTTTTGAGGGGAAATGGGTAAAGGGATGGACCTATTTATAGAGATTTTATTTACCTTTAAAGGCTCCTAGACCAACAAAAAGTACATCACCGCTTATGGTAAACTAATCTAATGTGTTGTGTCTTTTCTATCTTATTAATTTATGGAATTAGGTAGGTATTTTTTGACTCGCCAAGAAGATCTCTTACTGGGTAAGTAACCTATATATTATTCTTTTTAGAATTTGTTTGGTATTATTGTACTATTTTATACTTTGGCTATTATGATGTATTTCGTTTTGAGATAAAAATAGCTATATTAAAATTAAGGTTGGTAATTCATTTGACAAGATTGAA